TAATGTTCAAACATACATATCATGCAGTTTCGACAAAGGTGTAGACGAGTTGTTGCTGTTTGAATGATTCTGTCTGTTAAATAAGTTAATAAAATGGTTTTACCAAATGTACGCCAACTCAAGAGTAGCTAATATGCTATACATCTAAACAGTGGGTATCCATGACCCTGGATCTGTGAATCGAACAGAGCACCTTCTTTTCTGTGTACGAACGCTTAACCTGGATGTCGACTCACTTGCCTAGAGGTTAAGCGTTCAGGTCCTATGTTCGACTTCCGGATGCGTAGTCGTTTATACTGCTGTTTAGATGTCCAATAGTCGAATGAGATGGCCATTCAAGATGGTGAGTGATCTAGTTCAGATCGATTTTTGGTTTTAAGTGAAAATAACTAAAAAATAGACAGGAAACAATATAGACATTTACAGACAGACATTCATGCATACTATTATAGTCAATAAAGTTACAACCAACAAAGTGTAGAAAGGTTACAACAGGTCACTACAGAGTTATATTATGTGATACATATTGTTACAGTTGAAAATTCACAGTACTAATCGTCTACAATTTTGTAACGTTTTGCACATGTAGTCACACATTTGTAATTATACATAAATCTATTAAGTAAACATTATCTAAGAACCCTTTGTAATCGAGCACGTTTTCGGCTGAATCCCTGTATATTTGGTTATCGTTTTTATCGACAATTACACTGGGACAAAGAATATCCCGACAGTTTCAGTCTATTCCTTCAAGTTTTCCAGTATTAAGTGTTATAAAAGATTTATAAATCTTTCATAATTGTGCCTTAGTATATGTAGTACCAATAGGGTCAATCATAATGTTTGAACAGTTAGAGTGTAAACAACACATGCTATTGAGTTGAGGGTCTAAAAGCATGTTCACTTCATTTCACTGACTATTGTGTCAAAGAAATGTTTAAAAATTATAATTATTACCATTCAGAATAAAAGGCAAATAGAGAAATGTGTGTTTAATTTATGAGTGTGTTGGATGATCCTGTTACTGGCTTTGTGGAGGACTCAATAGTCAATTGGATAACATATTGACATTTAAAGAGAAAGATGTTGAGTGCAATTCCTGCAATAAATATCAATTATGCATTACAAATACATTCATATAAATAGTCTTAAAATAAAAATCGAATGAAACGCTTCCACTACTAGGCACATTTCATGTTATGCTCGTCGATTGAAATGTTTGAAACCATTACGAGTTCACCTTAGTCGGTAAACGAGAGGGAAGACAAATGATTCAGTGACACTGTAGGCTACTCTAATCCGACTGTCCTAAGGCTCCAGTAAATAGAGTAGGAAGTCTTGACAAGACGTAGAAAGTGTATTCTACAAGCACTCAGAAAATAGGAGGTTTTTCAAGCACACAAATCGAGTTTATTTCTACAAGATAGAAACGTCCATGGGAAAGCCACAATAATAGTATACTAAAATGACACATCAACCAATGACAGTGAAGGATTTTCCGGGTGGGATATGTAATCTGATCAGTCGATGCACGAAAGCATAAAATCCAAAATTAAGACCTTTATCAAGTGAATTCTGGGGTTCTAACGTCCCCAACAATGTATTGAAAATTATTTGTAATTTTCATATCAATTTTCTAGTATCTGTTCAACAACTGTAACATCTAGGCATATTAGTTATTGATCAGGGAATGAATTAAATACCTAAGTATTCTAGAGAGATAAAGAGTAAAGAATAAAAAAATGTCTTGACAGATAGAATTTATTGATTCTCTATAATTTATTGTATATACTTTAAGACAAGTTTAACATATACTCTTATTCTTTTGGTAGAAGAATAGACATTTGGGTGATAATTTTGTAAATCCATGATAATGTCTATGAAATACTAAAACATACTATTCATAGTCAATAAAAGTACTATTTCAAATGTTAACTTTACAATAATTTAGAAATAATCATTCAGTAGTTTGTTTGAAAGGCATTAAAATGTCAATGGTCTGTTTTGAAATGGATGAATGAGTATAAAAATAGAAGAAATGTGTGAGAAAAGTTGGTTTTTGTCAATTTATTTTCATTATAGAGTTACAAAGATTGTTTTTTATTATTTAAATTCATGAACCAATCATTATCAGACCACCATTAAAAACCTGGAAGTACTGGACGGCCGAAGGTCCTGGTTTCGAATCCTGCTGTAGTGAACGAGAACACAGGTGGGGCAACCGAATTATATTTAGCGAAAATTACAGAATTACTCAGTAAAATCGGAAAACCATATCGTAAATCGTTCATTTGCAAAATAACAGTTCATCATATCGAACTGGACTGTTCCTGTTGCAAAACATCAATCCATTGTCACTATTCATGCGTTTCATACAAATTCCATTGTGTTCTAACTCTTCCTTTCTTGATCTTTCCCCATCTTCTGCTGCCAGACATTACGCTGACACTCACGTCATATACTACTTATAAGTAGCTCACACCACACTACTTTTAGCGGGAGTTGTGGATGCGCACTGCCACTGATGAGTCCAATACCAGGACGAAAAGATCGTCAGGTAAGTGCTTCCAGGTTTCTAATGGTGTGGCCTAACAATGATTGATTGATGATCTCAATAAAAATACAAGCTTCCATATAAAACAACAATTTGGTATGAATTTCTTCAGCAGCGCGCATCCGTGACCTTTGTCTGCTACTAATAGGATTTTAACCCAGGACTTTCGGACTGGCGTGTGGACGCATAACCTCTAGACCGCTGAACTTGCATCCAATGGTGTTAATGCCCAACTTCAATAAATCTAAGAATCTTGCGCAACCTCGCTGATTGTCTTCAGTAGTTACTGCCTACGACCGACAGGGTTGAACTTCAGCCATTAGGGAGACCGAAGGTTTTGCGTTCAATTTTCGTGAACAAGGGTTGTGAATGCGTACTACTGATGAGTCCTATACAAGGACAAGATGGCCATTCACATTGCTCTCAGGTTTCTAATGGTGGTCTAACATATATATTGACCTATGTAACTCTATAATAAGAAGATTATTTCTCTATCATCCTATATAATTCATATTTATTCTTGATTATTAATCTCATGATATTGTTTAACAAATAAACTTATTCAAGTAAACACCATATATAGGTCATTTAAATATTAACAATTTCAGTTTATTCTATAAACAGTTTCATTATTTGACTTGATACAATTTTAAACAACACTATTCCTGTAAATCTTTATAACTGCTTTCATATAAACTCTTAATTACTTATTTTCAATTAGAGTTAGGGAGATTAGTGTTTTTACTCATTTGAAATCATCAATCAATCAACATGGAAGCAATGAAACACGGCCGTTTCGTTCTGATATGTGACTCATCAGTGGCAGTGCGCATTCACCACTCGGGACCACTGAGCTGGCATCCAACGGTGTTAATGTCTAACTCTGATAGATCTAGGGATTTTGCGCGACCTCACCCATTTGTCTTTGGTAGTTACTGCTTACATCCGACAGGGTTGAACTCCACTGATCACGTCTTCTCACTAGAACTCCGAGAATTTCCTCATGAAGCTAGTCACTAGTGAGTACATTTTACGATATTTTCAAATAGAGTTATGGAGATTAGTGTTTTTACACATTTGAAATCATCATCAGGTTTCTAATCGTGGTCTAACATTGACTGATTGATAAATGTATAAAAAATTACTTATTTACTTAAGCCTGTTATCTCTTATTCAGCGTAGGCTGCCAACCAGCATTCTCCAGCCTACTCTTTCCTCAGCCTACCTTTCCAGTTCTACCTAACTGCTGTTCATTCTTTTCATGTTTGGTTCTGATTATTGACGTAATGTGTTCTTTAGTTTTCTTATTTTCCTTTGGCCTTCAGGATTTCAAATAAGTGCCTGCCTCAATTTCCGCAATGTTTTTCCCATCCACCTCTAGAGCCTCTTCATGATTTCCTACTCCCATGGAATATGGTTCCTTCTATCACATAGTATGTTGTTACTGATGGTGTCTAACGAACAAATCTGCAGTATCTTGTTTAGACAACTGTTAATAAACACCTGTATCTTGTGGATGATTTCTTTCGTGGTTCTTCATGTTTCCGTTCCATAGAATAGAATGGTTTTAACGTTTGTATTGAAAATTTCGATTTCGGTGTTGATCGACAGACAGTTGTTTTGACTTATAAATGTTCTTCGAGTATAGAAATACTTTCGCTTGCTTTTCTAATCCTTCTCTTCAAATCATCATCAGATCCACCTTGTTTATCAGTGATGCTGCCCAGATATGTATTTAAAAGTTTTTCCATCTTTCAAAGCTTCTCCATCAAATGTGATCACTAACTATTATTATTATAATAAAGAATTCACTTTTAATTATGAAATCCTACTGCTGCTTAACCAATCATCAGTTGATCAATTTATCATTTATATTCGTTTGTCAGTTTTAATGTCATTATTCGTCTGAATTTATGATTATATAAGTTCAATAATAGTGGGCGATAATTTTTTAGACCATTATTTTCATTTTGTTTGAATATCAGCTTATGTATGACTTTTACTCATTATCTTTAACTGTGTTTTAATTTAGTCTAATGTTTTTTTTACACAATCAATATGAATATTAGCATCTAACTAAAGTGAAGTCTGATGAAGCTTTAACAAAGAACCATATTTATTCAATTAACTAAAATGTTTTGTTTAAATTAAATAGAATTCAATTCAATTCATTGAAATGTTTCAATTAAAATGACAGAATTTATTCAAATTTCAAAACTGTCTAAAATGTAGTCGTTTTGTTTTCTTTTCTATCTCTCCAATTATTCGATTATTTCTTGTAATCACAATCATCAAGGTCATCCATCCATCACAAAACTATCCAATCAGATTAAACATGTGAATTAAAACTCAGCTGATTGGTCATATCACATATTTTAGTTTGTGCAATGATGTTACAGAATAAAATTATCAATAATATATAATTATTATTAGTTCATTAGATCAACAAAATTATATTTATTTTTAAAATATGTATCACAAACTTATGTTTACATTATTTCATTTTTATCAATTTATATTGTTTTATTATGCAATTGAAATCAATGGTAACATTAATTCCAATTCAATAAATGATAATGTTAAATATGAACCAAATTGGGATTCATTAGATAAACGTCCATTACCAGCATGGTATGATGAAGCAAAAATTGGTATATTTATACATTGGGGTGTATTTTCTGTGCCTAGTTATGGGTAAGTAGTAGTAGTTTATGCGAAAAAAATTATGTATTTGTTTTTATTTTGGTGGCTGATGCCTCACTTGGTTTTGTGACGGTCAGGTATTCGATATGTTCTTAGAGTTCGTATGTTACTCGTTCAGACAATTGTTGCTAAACTAACGCCTCACGGTTTTTGTATATCGAAGTGTGGAATGCGTTTGTTTGGCGCCGCACAAATAAATCACTGAACTACAGGCACATGAAGCAAAAATAATATGCAAGGGCCGAAAAGCGAGCGTGCGAGTGAGCGAGTTAGCGAATGAGTGAATAGGATTAAAATGTACATGTAATTTTATTTGGTTCTCTTCATCACTGTCGTTAGGAAACGAGTTCTAGGTAGGGCTGGGAAATCAGTAGATGAAGTAGTGAAACTTCATCAGCTGAGGCGGTTGGGATATGTGTTACGTATGCCTAACCACCGACTGCCGCGACGAGCTATGTTTTGTGGTGTAGGAGTAGGTTGGAAGAAACCTAGGGGTGGCCAAACCAAAACATGGCAGAAATCCATAAAGTCACTGACAAGTGGACTGGTTCATGTTGGTAGATGTCGGCTACCTGGTTGGGGTCTGCTAGACGAAAGTCACCATTGGTTAGAGACCTTGAACGACATGGCTTAGAATCGTTTACAATGGCGCAGGTGCATCCACTTGCTGTGTTCTATGAAATTCTAATCTTCTGAACTCCTCATAATCTCTGCCTTTCTCCTTTTAAATTTATCTCACTGAATTATACTTTTCGAATCATATCTTTGCTCCCTAATCTTCTTCATTACTGCTAATGCTCCTACTGTCGCTATCACTCCTGGATTTAAACTGACAGTTGCGTCTCTGTGGTGATGTGATATGGAAACCTGAACTGATGTACTTATGTACGAAGTTCTGCGTTATATCTGTCTGTCTAGTTCTCTTAATCAGCTGCTTACAATCTATGGTCTTACAAAAAACCGAAAATGATCATAGAAATTGACTTATAAATATGAAGGTGTATGATGATGTTGCAAAGTTTTCAATAAAGGTTTAAAAATAAATGATTACGTAGTGCAGTTATATAAATAAGCAAGTGACAAGAATTTATGTCATCTTGCCCAAATATTTTTGTATTGCATTTCTTTCTGAAGAGAAATAGTCTAATTGATCATTTTGATCAATGAAATCTCTGAATAAAATGTTTAAACTACACAGTAATTTTATATAAACAAGTTGCTGCTATCACTAGTACTTTGGTCTAGTGATCACGGTTTTGCTTACTCTCACTTAACTATACTTCACTTCTTTTCATGCTTACTATCTGAGCATCAATGAACGAGTCAATAAATTTCATTGCTCATGTCATGGATTTTCTATTTCGATATATATATATATATATATATTGCTAATCAATAACCAATCACTAACCTTCATGCTAGATCTAAACTAGAGTAAACTATTTCTGTAAATGGGTTATGAAATATGCTTATTAATGATTTCCATATCAGTAGTATTTCTTGGCCATAAGAGGTTGTTGCAGGTATTCACGATTGTCAATTACGATTTGACTTATAGTTAGACAATTACTGAAATGGTAAGTTATGATGACGGTGTACTGAGTGAAAATCAACTGGAGTTAAAAATGTGCAGAAAATGGCTGAGGTGTAAGAGACCTAAGCGGTTGATACTCTCTTTGAGGCCAAAGAGTTTCTAGTTCGATTCCTACTGTGGTCGTGTATCACCTTTTTTGGGAACAGGCTACACGATATTGGCTAGTAGTTAGCGCCTGATGGTTTCCCTATTTAATTCATTTTTAGGAAGATATACCATACAAATGAGATTTTTATTGCGAAGTGTAGAAACAAAAAGAACTTGGAAATCGACTTTTTCATTGAAAAGTTCAATTCTTAGTCATGTCTGTTTGATTAAGTCTCAGTCTACATTGTTGCACTGATTCATTCATGACCACAAACGAATCGATAAAGATCGGCAAATGTTAGTTTCGTTTAGTTTTCTGTCATACCATACCATCATGTCATAAACTGACAACTTCTTCTCTATTTCATCCATTCTTAACGTCAATGAAATATTTCATGATGTGAAATTAGTTCAGATCACTGAAGCTGATATTTTGATATAGGCGCATTGACTGAATTACTGGCACTGTGCTTGAACACACACCTTACCAAACCTTCGCATTACTAACATTATGTCACCATAGTTCATTTAGACAGATTTTATGTCATTTTAAAGCTGAAACAGATATCTATGTGATAAACTCGGTGTGCACTGTTGAGAAATTTTTGAACAGAGACTAAAAAATTCATTCAACAGTTTTTCATTTTATTGTGAATAGTTATTTTCTTTACAATGAACGCTTGTTGCTTATTTAGTACAATCAAAAAATGCACAGCATCATTTTAATACATACAAAGAATAAATCTAGACAGTTGATTATTGATTTGGTTATGATCATAGATTGTTTAACAGTATCATATGATAAATATTCTATCACGTTTATAATAAATATTATTATTCTCTTAATTGCATTACTAATTTTGATCTGAATAAATTCACTTCAATATGTAAATGTTTACAAATCATGTATATATCATATATATATATATATATATATATATATATATATATATATATATCATTGGCTGATACTAGTTTGTAAACTGTTGAAAACCAGAAAACAATGCATAGTTTTATCATCTTGGTGTGGAGTTCCTGTTATGCTCGTCAAATTGTATGCTTGAAACTATTTACAAGTTCACTTTAGTCGGTAAACCAAAGCAAAGACAAATGATACAGTAACACGATAAGTTAATCTAATCCGAGCGTCCCAAGGTCCCACTAAGTACAGGTAGAAGTCTTGAAAAGACGTAGAAAGTGTATTCTACAAGCACACAGAAAATATGAGGTAGACAAGCTTACAAATCGAGTTTATTTATACATGATAGGAACGTCCTTGGGAGAACCACAAAAATAACGTACTAGAATAATACATCAACCGATGACAGTGAAGGATTTTCTGGATGGGAAATGTAATCTCTAGGTCCACTGATCAGCCCACGAACGAAAGCATAAAATCCAAACTTAAGATCTTTATCAAGTGAATTCCGGGGATCTAACATCTCCAACAGTTCCTCAGAAGTACTCGTTCACAAATACAGGACAATTAGGTCTAACAATAACGCTTCCACTTGTGATCGAATCCACAATCACTGAACATCATTGCAAACTCCTCTAACTTCCAGATGTCTAGAGTCATAATTCCGTTTTTGGTTATTTCATGGTATAGTGCAACTTTCGTCTATACCGCCGGTAGTATCTGTTTTAAGTTCAATAAGTATGAAAAAAGACTTTTACAATAGATATGTATGTATATTTATTTATAAATTTAACCTTATTGGTCTCAAAGATACTGACAATTAATTGATTATTTAATAAACATGAAAATCTAGCTTTCGAATTTCATATCAGTTTCCCGAATAACTCTCCATGAATGTAACCTAAACGAAAAAAAACACTAAACGAAGAAAAATTATGCTAAATGTGAATTAACTGATAAAAATGTGACTTGCAGTTTTTTTTTTAAATCAGCTTATTATAAATGAAGGATAATATTTGTTGTTTTTCATGATGTTAATTCATACTGAAATAATTTAAAACAATAGATTTCGGATATAGATAAATGTCAGCGCGAAAACGTTGTGTTTTATTGATCGAAATCAGTTTGTATTTTACACTAGGTAGTCATTAAAGATCAACAATTTCATGGGTTAGCAAGTTAGAGTTTTCCGGAGACGGCACCTCAAGTTAAATATCAAAAGTAAACATCGAAATTAAGATGCAGTTATACTCAATTCAACAAACGGAAAACAGAATTTCTTCAATTCTAATGGTAGAAGTCAACAAGGAAAGTACTAAGAATTTCAGCTTAATCAATCAGTCAGTTATGACTTAGAACTACGTACGTAGGTACATCAGTTCAGGTTGCCATACCGCATTAGCACAGAGACGTAACTGTCAGTTCAAATCTCATAGTGGTAGAGATAGTAAAAGTATTGGTAGTAATGAGGAGAAGATTCAGGTTCGAAGATATGATTCGAGAAGTATAATTTGGTGAGATAAATTGAGAAAGAGAAAGATAGAAGTGATGAGTAATTCATAAAATTAATGTACCTCTTATTCGAAAGAATTCACTATCCATTGATTTCATGTTTAGAATGGTCAAATAATTAAAGTCAATGATTGATTATACATTTGAAATCATCAATCAGTCATTGTTAGACCACACCATTAGAAACCTGGAAGCCCTGAAAGACGGCCGTTTCGTCCTGTTATGGGACTCATTAGCATTGCGAGTCCACGACTCCTGCGCGCGAACGCCCAACCCCTGGACCGCTGGGCCGGCATCCAACGGTGTTAACGTCTAACTATGATCAATCTAGAGATTTCGCGCGACCTCACCCATTTGTCTTCGGTAGTTACTGCATTCACCCGACAGGGTTGAACGCCACTAGTCACGTCTTCTTACTAGATCTTCGCGAGGTGCAGGAGTCGTTGATGCGCACTGCCACTGATGAATCCCATACCAGGACGAAACGACCGTCCAGTGCTTCCAGGTTTCTTATGATGTGGTCTAACAATCACTGATTGATGATTTCAGATATATAAAAATAATAATCTCCATAACTCTAATTGAAAAACCTAAAATGTGGTTACCAGTGACTAGCTTCGTAAGGAAATTCACTGTCCATGTTTAAAATATCTCCAATAACTTCCTGTTGGATGTTTCTACTTGTACACAATGACAGGACTGAATGGTTTTGGTGGATGTGGCAAGGTGATCCCAATCGAATGCGTCAAATCCCAGAATATATGCGTAAATATTATGAACCAGAATTTGCATATGCTAATTTTGCCAAACAATTTCATGCAGAATTTTTTCAACCTAATGAATGGGCTGATCTATTTCAAAAATCCGGTGCACGTTACGTGGTACTAACAGCAAAACATCATGAAGGTTTTTGTAATTGGCCATCGGTTAATTCATGGCAATGGAATTCCATGGATATTGGTCCAAATCGTGATTTAGTCGGTGATTTAGCTGCATCAATTCGTAATAGAACAAATCTTCGATTTGGTGTTTATCATTCATTATTTGAATGGTTTAATCCATTGTATTTACATGATAAAGCAAATAATTTTACAACACAAGTAAGTTAATTTTAATTTTTTCTTTCTCAGTAGTTTGTTTAACCTTTTATCAAAAATCTATGATTATGGTTTTCTTTTAATTGGAGTCATTGTATACAAAGTACTAAAAAAATGTTAAGTTTTGTCAGAATTTAACTAAACAGTGTCACAATATAATATTCATTAGATAAGATGTGTATGTCGAGTAATTGGATAATGGTTGAGGATGTTAGATCCCCAGAACTTGCTTGATAAATGCCTTATTTTGGATTTCACGTTTGCGAGCATGAGCTGATCAGTTGACCTTCAGATTTCAATGCCCACCAGGAAAATCCATGGCTGTGATTGGCTGCTGTGTATTTTAGTGTGCTAATTTTGTGACTGTCCCAGGGACGTTTCTATGATGTATAAATAAACGAGAGTTGTGTGTTTGATTGTATTGTGATTGCAGGGTGTTTGTGGAATATACTGTCTACGCTTATCAAGACTTCTGTTTTGCAGTTTGGGGATTCAAGGTAGTCTACCTGGACGCTAGTAATTGTCTCGTCCGCGTTTATCGACTAAGGTGAACTCGTAATAGCTTCAAGCGTACCGACTGAGGAACTTAACAGTTGGCGAAGGGAATGGGATTCGAACCCACGCGGGGAAACCCCAATGGATTAGGAAGCGACGAACCTAACAGATAAGCGTGTTTTTTCTTATTATGGTGCTTCTGCTCAGAATACACTCTATGTACTCACTCGTCAAGGTCATGGTTTATATTAAGCGCACTCCAATTGACACTTTTCAACAAATTCACTGTTGAATTATGCAAACCATCGAAGAACTCTGCTGTGTACCTAACCTTGATGAAAACGCAGCCGTATTCAATTTGTTCCTGTTGGTGAAATGGTGTAAACATTCTTTCAGAAACAGACTCTAACAGTGTAACCTTTTACAATGAACTTTTAATGACAAGTGATGCTGATTCGTAAATTGAGATATTACACTTTGGCTACTCTATATCGCAAGTCGACAGAATAAACAATTGTGAATTATCTAATTTCGATGAAGTGGCTTGAAAGTAACCGACTGAACGAGAGATTTTTAAGTTCTTCGATTCAATCTTATGTGGATTCATATGAAGAGCCTTAAAATGAAATCCAAATTTATCAATCAGTAATACAAGGTTTTCAATAGTATCAGTCCTAGACATATGAAAAAAAGGAAGAAAAGCGTCTATTCACGCAACTGCATCAAAAATACATCAAGTGGAACGATCAACAGGAATCAGTAAGAAGTGACCGTCCTACCACATATAAAAGACATATAGGAAATAGCAACATGACTACTGAAGCTATTCGGACAAACTGGACACCCTCTTTAGCTTCGCCTATATAACCATCAGTTAGGTGAAGACAACGGCAGATATAAGATCAGTAACAACTGATCAGGGTCGAGGTCAACAGGACAAGCAACAAGTCAAACATAGAGAAATTGGAATTTTTTACTTCTATCTGAAATTTGTACTGATAGAGTTGTTGAGATGAATAATGAAAGCTCCATAACCAAACCATCCAGGCTCAGAGAACGAAACTCCATCATAATCATCCGCCTGAACTGCAGATTTTCTCAACCATCACAAAAATTATTTCTTATCTAAAGTGATGATTAATATTTAAATATCTGGACAAATGTATTCAGATGTCGTCCCTGAGTTTTATAGGTTGATTGTTTGTTTAATCTCAGTTATATTTGCATAATCTTATTCAGTGTAATTAATATTCATACTAGCGAAAATCAACAAATTTGAAGAAAAAAACAGTAAACCCTAATGATGCATTTATATAAAAAAGAAGTATGAAAAATTCAGTGTATGCCTAACCACCGACTGCCTCGACGAGCTATATTTTGTGATGTAGGAATAAGTTGGACGAAAGCTAGAGGCGGCCAAACCAAAACATGGCACAAATCCACGAAGTCACTGACGAGTGGGCTGAGTTATGTAGGTAGGTGTCGACTACCTGGTTGGGGTTCGCGAGATGATAATAATCGATAGTTAGAGACCCTGAATGACATGGCTCAAAACCGTTTGCAACGGCGCAGACGCATTTACTCTATGCATTCTATGAAATTCTAACCTTCTAAATTAATCATCATCTCTATCTTCCTCTTTCGAAATTTACTTCACTGAATTATGCTTCTTGAATAACATCTACGAACCCTAATCTCTCGGATTACTTCTAATACTTTTACTACGTCTACTACTATGGGATTTGAATTGACGTTTGCATCTCTGCGATAGTATGGTATGGCAACTTGAACTGCTGTACTTACATGCAAAGTTCTACGTTGCTGTTGATAACGATGATGATGAGCTAAGATAGATTGAAAATATCTGTTAACATTGAATTCGGGCGAAAACTTGGAGAACCGCGAAAGCCATCATCCAGAAGATATAAGTGTTTAGTAAGGGTTGTCTAAGCAAAATACTTTGGATCCATTGGCTGGACACTATCAACAACAACCGACTGTGTAAGAGAACAAACCAGATTCCAGCTGAGGAAAAAATCAGAAGGCAGTGCTGGGGGTGGGTGGGACACAGACTGAGTAAAGCATCCAAATGCGTCATAAGATAAGCCTTAACTTGGAATACTCTAGGTGAAAGGTGTAAAGGTAGACCGAAGAACGCATAGCGTCGACAATCAGAGATAGGCATGAAAATAATGAGTAGCAATCAGTTAAAAACTGGAAAGGCAGAGGATAGAATAGTTTGGGGAACACTGTTCTGCTACTTATGCTTAATGAGGAGTAACGGGCTTAAGTAAGTGAGTCTGTAAACTTGTGCCTGGTTGGTAAGTTAAGGAAAACTCAAAATATTTAACAAGCAACTATAAGCAGTTAGATTAATAACAGAATGAACAAATGTATATAAATTATACATAACGTGGTTTAATTCTTAGTATTTATGAAAACATTAGGATACATGCATACTACTTGTGATTATTACACACACAAAATGTTTAGGCCTAAATATTTATCGATTTTCGTGAACTTTCATACTTAATAGAGCTATTTAGTGACTGCTAATATTACCTAAATTCTGACCATTTCATTTTCTTACACATTTGAAGTCATCAATCAATCATTGTTAGACCACCATTAGAAACCTGGAAGCACTAGACGGCCGTTTCGTCCTGATATGGGACACATCAGCAGTGCGCATCCACGACTCCTGCTCCTCGCAGGAGTATTGTGCGTGAACGCCTAACCATCGGACCACTGGGCCGGCATCCACTGGTTTTAATGTGTAACTCTGATTGATCTAGGGATTTTGCGCGACCTGACCCATTTGTCTTTGGTAGTTACTGCCTACACCCGACAGGGTTGAACTCCAGTGGTCACGTCTTCTCAATTAGAACTCATAGAATTTCCTCACGAAGCTAGTCACTAGTGAGCACTGTTACGATATTTTGGGGCAGAGTTTTGGAGGTTTGTTCTTTTACACATTTGAAATCATCAATCGATCATTGTTAGACTACACCATTAGAAACCTGGAAGCACTAGACGGCCGTTTCGTCCTGGTATGGGACTCATCAGCATGTTCATTTATGTATTTTCTTAAATTCTGATTAATTTCTACCATTGAATAATTGGCTTCAAATATCATGTAAGTTATACATTTTCACAATCGAAGAGATTACTACTAATCTATTCAGTCTGCAGCTGGCTTCCAATGGAGCTGAAATATTAACTGTTTTATAGTCTTTTGATACTGTTGATCAATTTGAAATGAGACTAATAGTCTGAGTGAATCAACATGTGGAGTAATATGTTGAGACGGTAGGTGATTAAAGATAATCATTAGGATTGGACAAACATGAATTTGGTCGCTACCTACTGATCAATAGGTTGCTAATATCTCAGTTTTGACAGAGGCTCATTTATTGCAATAAAAACTCAGTGGTGATTTTTCAGGCTGATAAAGTGGGTAACTCGGTTTCGAATCCGTTAGAGAGTACCAATTCTAATCAGATTACAGGTATGTCTTTTTATGTAACAGTTATCATGAAATTTATGTTTGGGATTTTATGTCAACTATTTAGAAATTACTTACTTACGCCTGTTACACCCAACCGAGCATAGGCCTCCTCTGTACTGGGCTTCCTTTCCCAGTTCTATCCAATTTTGGTTTATTTTTCTCACGTCTGTGCTCATTACTCGACGTAATGTTTTCCTTGGCCTTCCTCTTTTCCTTTGACCTTGAGTATTCCAAGTGAGGGCTTGTCTTGTGACGCATTTGGATTGATTTCTCAATGTGTGTTCAGTCAACTCCCAGCGCTTCTTCCTGACTTCTTCCTCCATTGGAATCTGGTTTGTTCTCTCATACAGTAGGTTGTTGCTGATAGTATCTGGCTAACCTATTGTGAAAAAGGTTTGAATCATATTTTTCTGGTTAGCGTTTTTTTTTTAAAGAGTTAGTTTTTCACAGGATGGGGTCACCAACCACATGCCCAACCCTTCTCCTTTATCCGGACTTGAGATTGGCAGTATCCCCATACGGGCTCCAGGCAGAGTTACTTACAACAACTTTAAAACATAAATAAATTTATAGCTTCTGACAATATTTAAATGATATTATTTATTTTGTGAATCTATAGACATTTGTTGCACAAAAAACAATGCCAGAATTATATGATTTAGTGTTACGTTATAAACCAGAAGTAATTTGGTCTGATGGTGATGCTGGTCCAGATACCTATTGGAATTCAACACATTTTCTTGCATGGTTATATAATGAATCACCTGTAAAAGATACAGTTGTTACAAATGATCGTTGGGGTCAAGGATGCCTTTGTAAACATGGCGATTATTATACATGTGATGATCGTTATCATCCAGGAAAATTAGTTAAACATAAATGGGAAAATTGTATGACATTAGATTGTTGTTCATGGGGTTTTAGACGAGAAATTACATTAAGTAATGTACTGACACCAGAGGTAAGTAGAAATTTGTGACAAATTATTATTAGTTTTTCAATTATTCAATTAAATGTGAATTTTCAAGATTATGATAGATTGAAAATGTTAACCTAAAATTGCTGTTTTGATTATTTTCGTAGAATATAGAACATGTTCTCTACTGTATATTCTGATATCTTGAGCTCATGGTGTGGTGTATGCTACTTATACGAACGATATAAGTAGTATAAGAAGGGACGTGAAAGAAGAAGTCTCACGGTCACAAGAGGAAAACCGATAGCAAATGGAGCAAAAGCAAGAAGTAAATGGAGTACCAACAGGAAGGAAAGGAAACAACAACAGGAATGGAAGAAGGATGGAGTGTTGGAAGTTAAGACTCAAAGATGGTGTGCAAATAGAGTATTCAATGTTCTCAATTGGTGTCGCTGCCTCTACACAGGATGAAGATTCCGTGGCCTCGGGAGTTTGAAGACGGAGATGTGAGGAGCTTCTTGAAGGAGTTCGAGGCTGTGGCGGAACTGGTCGGAGTCAAGGGGCAGAGGGCGGAGACGGTGGTGTTGGAGACTCTACTAAGGGGCAGGGCGAGAGCGGTGTACGATGGTGTGGAGGACGCTGACTGGGAGGTGGTGACTGAAAGGCTGCTGGTGGAGTTCGACAGCCCGGCGGATAGGCAGGACGCGCTGTGGAAGTTCCGAGAGGCGAGACTGACGGTGGATGGCGACCCACTCGTGCTAGCTGTGGAGTTGACAACATTGCTGCGCCGGGGTCTGCTGAATTTGTATGAGTCGCAAGCACAGCTGCTGGCGTCGCAATTCATTGAAAGTGTGTCTGCAGAGGTTGTCCAGCAGTTTAGACTAGTGAACGCGGCACAACCAATGGACGTCACTGATCTGGCTAAAGTAACAAGACAACTGATGAACTCAACAGTCGCCTCGGTGGCGTGTGAAAGACAGGCTGATGATGTCGCGCAGAAGATAGAAGAATTACAACGCGAGGTGGCAGCATTACGAATAAAGGGTGGAAGAAATAATAAATGCTATATTTGCGCAGGAACCGGACATTGGAAGAGGAACTGCCCAACAAAACGAAAACATTACGTTGAACACACTATTTGCACACCATCTTTGAGTCTTGACTTCCAACACTCCATCCTTCTTCCATTCCTGTTGTTGTTTCCTTTCCTTCCTGTTGGTACTCCATTTACTTCTTGCTTTTGTTCCATTTGCTATCGGTTTTCCTCTTGTGACCGTGAGACTTCTTCTTTCACGTCCCTTCTTATACTACTTATATCGTTCGTATAAGTAGCACACACCACAATAGTGATTGTCTCGGCCTTTGGACAGATCGACCTTGTCAACCACTCGCTGATAGCCTTGGTTTTATTTATTCGAGTGTGTATGCACCGATTATGTCGCTTGTCACATGTTTAACTTATTTCCTCTTATTATAAAAACTCGGTCATGCCTCACCACATTGAGTTGGCTCGCTCGCTTTCCCCGCTTCGCTTTGCTTTACTTGTACGCTTTTCATGCTGTCTATCTCTGCTTAAATAAATATATGAAATAAATCCATCAACAAAACCGTATTTGACTTCATATTACCACTTCCGCACAAATGAGGTTCGCCTAAGTATGATATAAGGAAATCGAAGGAAAGATTTGTTTCATAGCATATTTGACTGATCGTCCAAACTGGAGTCAGATCAGCAGTTACTAAAATGTATTCTTCGAAAATCAATCATAAAAATCAATAAGCAATGCATAGCTTATGAAATAAGATCAATATTTCAAACAGTGGTTAAAGAATTATCAAACATTATATCCGTCAATGTTTGAAATAGATTTTATTTCTAAAAAATCTCATTTGAAATGAATCTTATAGTAATAAATTAACAGAAAAATATAAGTACCATTAGAGTGCTTCTTGAAGAGTAGATCTATCATTGGTTATGGAAACTTTATGAAAGTGTAGATGTATGTAGATGTATGATAGATATAACTGATTAATTTAAACAATTTTCAGTCAGTTACAACGTAGAACTTCGTACGTACGTACGTAGGTACGTACTTCGGTTCAGGTAGCCGTACCACATAAGCACAGGAAGGATTTGATTGTGACCAGTATGGTCTCGTGTGCTGTTACGGGTATGAGGGCGGATATCACTTCCCGTCTGCCCACACCGTGTTGTTTCCTAAGGAACCTGAAAAGGAAGGTAAATAAGAGTTGGTCTTAGAGACCTGGGAGCGTGGTCACAGAACCTAATGGACAACTGCTTGAGGTTGATCACGCACGGCCTTTTTTTTAACATTGCAATAATGAATCAATCGGTGTTAGACAAACATTACAAACCTGGGAGCGCTTTTTCAGTATGGGACTCATAAGCGGTGAGCATCCACGACTCCCACTCGCGGGAATTGAGCCTTGGACTTTCGACCTTGCGCGCGAACGCTTAACCTCTAGACAACTAAGCCGGCATCTAATGGTGTTAATGTATAACGTCGACCAATTCTCATCTACTGTTTTTCGGTGAGCACTGCTTCTTGCTACCTGAAAATATGACCAATTATGAAAATAAAATGTATGTTTAGATAAATGATGAGGTAGTAGTTTGTGTAGCTTTCTATAGTCATGGATAAATACACATTTATGGTGTTATTTAATAAAATATCTCCAACTATATTAATTTTAAAAAGTATGCAAGACATCGAGGCAATTTTCACTTAAAAACTGAATAATTCCATTTTCAAAATTAATTGTTTGTTATTTGTTAAAGATTAAACAATAGACATTGTAATGAGCGTATAATTAGAATTACACTATAATAATAATAATAATGGCTTTATTCAGAACTATGCGTTTAGTAATAAATAGAATTCTCAGCATGGAAGGAATATTCCCACTTTCCTTTACAAAACAATTCGTGATTGGCTGACAGTTGGAAGTAGGTAGTTGAGCAATCAAAATCTTAAATAATGTTGATTGCTTTCTTAGCAGATTGCCAGCCATCGCGAAGTCCTAGATTGTACTTTTTAGAACCTTGTACAATGGTAATGGGTATGTAAGTTCAACCTTTGGCTAGTTTACATTTAGCCAAGAAGTATCTTGTGTACTGGTGGAGTATAAGAATCAGCAAGTGAGATTGTTTGGAAGAGGAAAGAACAAGAGAACATGTGAATGGACGACTCGATGAGCATACAGAATGTACTTACATTTAATACAGTTAGCAATTGATATCAATTAGAAATAATACAATCATGAGATCAAGAGAAATTGATAATTGAAACTGGGAGTGGGTAGAGTTTATGAATGTGTTACCTTTTATATACGTTTGTGAACAGATTATGTCAATAATAGACATGTTGAAACCGACAAAGTGTGGTGTAGGAAGGATTTGATTTCGACCAATTTGGTCTCGTGTGCTGTTACGGGTATGAGGGCGGTTGTCACTTCCCGGCTGCCCACACCGTGGAAGGTTGTTTTTTGAGGAACCTGGAAATGAAGGTAGATTAGTGTTAGTCTTAGAGCGTGACCGCAGAGCCCAACAGACAACTGCTTAAGGCCGGTTACGCACAGCCATTTTATGAAAAGTTTTTTGAGTATTAGCTCCGCTCTTGAATGCCCTTAGTGGGCACCCTTACCGCCGGAAACGGAAATCCGTGAGGTAGGGTGAGTCGTGATGTTTTCTAACCCTTCCTTCCTTCCTTGTGAGAAGGCAGCATCGCTGCAGACGCTGGTTGTCCGAGGGAAACACCTTACTGCTGTCACAACCCTCTGCAGTCAGCAGTACGACTTCGCCCTCAGACCTTGGGTGCTGATGTGGTATGGCAACATGAAGTGATGAACTTACGTAGAAAGTTCTACGTTGCATCTGACTGACTGACAAAATGTGGTAACTTGTTCGAGTATTTTAATGCTATCGAAGAGGTAGACCAGATATTAACGAAAAGCTGTTAAAATTAAACATTTAATTGATAGAACACGTAGAAAATTTAATCATGAAATAATTATACAATATCTTGTAGAATCTCGTAAATCTCTTTAATTTCTCAATCGCTTTATTTATAATTTTCATTTTTTTTTCTTAAGCAACTTATCAAAGATGTCATTGAAACAATTACTTTTGGTGGAAATATTCTTATTAATGTTGGACCAACTGCATGGGGAAAAATTTCACCGATTTATGAAGAACGTTTATTACAATTGGGAGAATGGTTATCAATCAGTGGTGAAGGTATTTATGGTACTAAACCATGGAGAATTCAAAAAGAACCAAAACTTGATTTTGTTTGGTAAGTATTTTGATGGTATTTGACAAATGTGATGTGACAAATAGTCTTCCAGTCTCTCACAATGTTCGAACGTACCATGTACCTAAAAGAATGAATGTTCTGGTTGTCAGAAATGGCATCGGTCTCGTGACTTCCAAGGGAACTTGGCTTTCATCACGAGACGTCATAATTCTTCTTCCAACTCTTAAGGCAGAGTTCAAATGGTTTAAATTATTCTTTCTGATTAGCGTTTTTTTGGCGGGATGCTGTCCCCAAGCCCATGCCCAACCCTCCTCCTTTATCCAAGCTTGGAACCGGCAGTGGCCCCGAAAGTTCTACAGGCAGAGTGTATTTGCCGAGAAAAAACAATCTGATCTGAACTATTTTGTCTTTCGTTAAAACTTCAAAAATAGCCTGTTTAAAAAGTGTTTGATTTAGTCTACATAGGATTTTCATTGGAAAATTCTTGACAATTTACTTATAGATACTTGTTTTCGTGTAATCACTAATTTCCACCTGATTCCTTGTCAGTTAATATCACCTTCCGCATTCCGTGACAAGCTACAATATACCGGATTACCACTTCGGTTATTGTTCTTGCCCGCTGGTCTGTAATGGATACGGCATCTATCCAACGTGTAGCGTTTACTAGTTCCCGCTGCTGAGACACGGTGGCAGTCACACTCTCGATAAATTGCGACGCCAACAACTGTGCCCCCGACTCCCCATCCATACTCGGCAGCGCACGACGCAGCAATATCGTGAGTTCCACAGCCAGCACCAGTGGGTCACAATCGGCAGACAACCTCGCCAACCGGAACCTCCGCGGCGCCTCGTCCCTGTCCACTGGGCCGACGAACTCCGTCACTATTCGCTCCGTGACCGTCTCCTACGCCGTCTTCCCGGCGGCACCGTCCAAGCTGTCGTATACAGCCTCCGCCTCACCTCCCCGCAGCGTCCACAGCACCACCAACTCCGCCCCGGGCCCCTTCACACCCACCAGCCCCACCACGGCCTCAAACTCCTCCAGGAAGCCCCGCAAATCTCCGTCCTCCGACTCCTTCGGCCCAGCTCCTTCCTTCGTGCAGGCAGCGACACCAAATGTAGAGAAGGAAAAAACAGGTGAGGCAACCGGACTGCATTTATCGCAAATTACAGAGTTACTCAGTAAAATAGGAAAACCATATCGTAACCGTTAAATTGCAAATCTTCAATCCATCATCAATCCATTGTCTGAAATTTCACTATTCATGCGTTTCATACAAATTCCATTGTGTTCCCACTCTTTCTTTCTTGATCTTCCCCCATCTTCTGCTTCCAGACATTACGTTTTCACTCACGTCATATACTACTTATAAGTAGCGCGCACCACACTATCATTGAAAAGATCATAGTATTGAACTTCAAATAGTAGTTATATTTTCTGATAAAAATCGTTAGAGGAGTATTCGTAGTTTTTTGAGTGCGAGAAAGATACTAGGTTAAAATAACTTTCTAGAGTTTCTTAGTTTTCAGTAGTTGCGTAACTAAGGCGAATTTATGCTGCTCAACTTCAAATTCAAGTAGTTTCACGTCGCTCTAAAATAACAATTCTATCCCTCAGTCTAACATAGTAATCCCTCCCTTGATCATCCCTTGATCAATTAGAGCTAGACATTAACACCGTTGGATGCCGGCTCAGTGGTCCAGAGGTTAGGCGTTCCCGCAGAAGGCCATAGGTCCCGGGTTCGAATCCAGAGATTAACAGAAATCGCGGATGCGCACTGCTGATGAGTCCCATACCAGGACGAAACAGCCGTCTTTCAGAGCTTTCAGATTTCTAATGGTGTAGTCTAACGATGATCGATTGATTGATGATTTCAAATGTGTAAGAAAATTATTATTTCTCCTGTTATTTTATTTTTTAAAATTTTAGGTATACCTATAAAAAACCAAAAACTGATGAAAATTGGATTAAATTTCTAGAAAAGCCATTTTTATATTTAATGAAAAGAATATCTCGTATTAAACAGAATCCAGCCATAGTTTATGCTCATTTAACAAAATGGCCAGCTGAACATTGTGACAATTTACCAGAAGCACTACAGTCATTGTCCAAATACCGATCAATAAGATCAATATTACATTGTAAAAGAGAATTACGCCTTGCCTCAGTTAATGCTCAACCGAATCTGTCTGAATTCATTTTATTGGATGGAACTTCAACTGGTATGATATTATCTTTTGAAATAATGGATAAAATCACAAATAATGGTGTGATTATTCATTTACCTGATTTAATAGTTCACTCTGATGAGAGAAAAACATTGAAATATGCATGGACAATACGTATGGTGAATGTATTTTAACAATCAATTACTTTATGACATGATCTCAGTTCAATCAACAATACACAGAGAGTATCTAATCTAATCTATGCTAATCAAACAGGTTATTAATATTGATTTGAACATTGATTTGAACATTGAACATTGTGTCATATTTCATGAAGTGACAAAAATGGAACTGAATTTCTAATGCTTTTTTTTTCACTTAGAATATTTTGTTTCTTTTTGTAAAGAACATGCAATTGAATGCAATTGAAGGAGTAAATTTACACACTTTATCTTGAAGTGTTCAATATTCAATGCTCTGCTGATTGAATATTTATGCGCTACAAAAATATTTTTTATAATAATTGTCATTTTATGAGTGTATTTCAAAGTGTTTTATTGAATTTTTTTCGTTATGAAAACCTGGTAAATTGGTATCATCTGCTTTTTGTCTACATTCAATTTGATTATTTTGATAAAATGAATTTATAGGCTATCGATTTTTTTGTGTGTTTCTATTTTTAAATATTATTATGATAAAAAATGTCGAAATTATCTTTCTTCTTTTTAATGATAGTTTTTCTTGTTGAGGATGTTAGATCTACAGAACTCGCTTGATAAATATATTTATTTTGGATTTATTTCATGGACCGATCAGTTGACCTTGAGATCATATTTACCACCAGGAAAATCCTTGACTGTGATTGGTTACTGAGTCATTTTAGTGTGCTATTTTTGTGACTGTCTCAGGGACATCTCTATAGAGTATAAATAAACGCAATTTGAGTGCTTGGATTCATTAAGAGCTGGCTGAGCGTTTGTAGAATACAATTTCTACATTATTTCAAGACTTCTTGCTGATTCAAATTGGTCAAGGGATCACTGTAGCCTACTTGGACGCTGGTTCATTGTTTTGTTCTCGTTATTCGACTAAGGTGAACTCGTACTAGTTAAAGCATACCTAGAGACGAGCGTTACATTCCTGTGCCTTTTTATGAAAATATTTAGTGAATTTTAAGCTTTTAGGAAAAACCAAACAGTCTGAGGAAGATAGAAAGGTGCATTGGATAACAGCTTCTCTATAAATTATATAGTTCTTCAGTAATATACAACTATAACTCCATAATCCAATTTCAGTTGAGTTATGAAAGAGTATTATAGAGACCTTTTTCATTCATAAGTGATAGTTATCATGTATTGGTATATCAAATGAGCTGGATGAGACTATAAAATAGTTTGTCTTGAAAAGTAATCTGTAAATAGTTTGACCATGTGAACCATATGAATCTGTCTACAGTTGTCATAAATATACATAATATCATTTATTAAACGTAAGATCAATAATGACTGGCAAAGAATGTAATGGTTAACTTTCTAATGAAGAGTGAAATATGACGTCTTATTATGTCATGTATATTTATTGACAAACATTCTATAAAACAAATCGACTAAAGTTTGTCATATGGTCATTTTAATTTAATGACTAAGTACTCTTTACAAATATTAACGGTTATGAGTTTAGTGATGTGTATGGTTGTCAGTGAGCTTTATTGTGGGCTTTCATGATGGATGGAAAACTTGTCTGAAGCGTTTCATGTTTTAATAGTTCTTTCAGATTGATTTTAGTATCTAATTGTTGTGGATGTTAGATCCCCAAAACTCGCTTGTTAAATACCTTATTTTGGTTTTCACGTTTGCCAGCATGGGCTGATCAGTTGACCTTTAGATTTCATTTGTGACTACCTCAAGGACGTTTCTATGATAAACGAGAGTTGTATGCTTGATTGTACTGTGATTGCTGGGTGTCTGTAGAATATAGTTTCTACGCTTACAAAGCCTTCTTATTTTATTTTGGAATTCAAGGTAGCCTACCTGGACGCTGGTATTTGTCTCGTTCGCGTTTATCGACTAAGGTGAACTCGTAATAGCCTCAAGCATACTTGATGACGAACATAATACTAATAACAAACTTGCTGCAAACGAAGAGTAGTAAATCATTGTTAGATTACCATCAGAAACCTAGAAGCACTGGACGGCCATTTCATTCTAGAGTGGGACTCTTCAATAGTGGGCATCCAAGGCCTTCTACCGCGTGAATCGAACCCAATACGAAACGGATATCCAATGCTTCTAGGTTCCTAATTAGGTTCCAATAATGGCTGATTCATGATTCCAGTGTAAAACAACAATCTCCATGACTCCATAATAAATAAAGCATACTATTACTAAACTATAGAAAATATCAAATAATTACAAACTGTCAGACCTACTCATAAAATCTTTAAATATAGATACGGAAAATAATACTTACATTACTTATTTACGCCTGTTACCCTTAATGGAGCATGGGCCGCCGACCAGTTTTCTCCAGCCAACTCTGTCCTGGGCTTCCATTCCCGTTATGTCCAATTTTTGTTCATTCTTCTCATATATTTCTCTATTTCTCAGCGTAATGTGTTCCTTGGCCTTCCTCTCTTCCTTTCGCCTTAAGCTTCCAAATGACGGCTTGTCTTGCGACGCAGTTAGGTGGTTTTCGTAGTGTGTGTCCTATCCACTTCCACCGCTTCTTCCTGATTTCCTCCTCCACTGGAATCTGGTTTGTTCTCTCCCACAGTTCGTTGTTGCTGATGGTGTCTGGCCAACGAATACGAAGTATTTTGCGTAGACAAATGTGAATAAACACTTGTATCTTCTGGATGATGGCTTTGGTAGTTCTCCAAGTTTCCGCTCCATACAGTAGAACTGTCTTGACATTTGTATTGAAAATCCTGATTTTGGTGTTGATTGATATTTGTTTTGAGTTCGAGATATTTTTCAATTGTGGAAATGCAGTCCTTGCTTTGCCGATTCATGCATTCACATCTGCATCGGATCCACTTTGGTTGTCGATGATGCTGCCCAGATATGTAAAGGTGTTAACGTCCTCCAAGGCATCTCCATCAAGAATGATTTGGTTTGTGCATGTTGTGTTGTATCGTAGAATCTTGAAACTAATAATAATAATAATGATAATATATTGTGAAAATCTATCAAGTTCTTTCTAGTTTGAAGTGGTTGTCTAACCCAAAACAGTTTGCATATTTAAAACCATGTGTTATTCAGATAAGAAGACTTGAATGAACAAATTTTTCAGTGAAATATTGACAAAATGGCGATCTAACTGATAATTTTGATTGTATCTCTACAACTCTCACTGATGGTTATTAGCATTTTAATGTATTTAAGTGAGAACGCTTTGATAACAGCAATCCTTTTTAAACTACACTTCCATAACATAAAGCTTTATTCTCTAATGCAATGAAATACAAAATTCCATAAGGAATATTGATTTGATAGAGAGCAAGATAGGTTTTACTCTTTTAATTATACGTAGGAGTAATCGGACTTTACAATCAAGGTTTATGGAATATGTACCTCTAAGTGGCTTCAAAACTAGTTAACGTTAAATGACCTGATAAACGTGTGGGTAATAGCAGACCACGTCTAGCTATTGCAAAAACATATAATTGAGACACGGCATAAGATTGACATTAAGACAGACTTCAAAACATTGTATAGAAACGTTGAAGGACGAATGTTGAGGTTTATGGGAGCTTTGGTTAGTCGTAAATTAAAGCCTCCCTAATATGAACAGAAACAAATTGTTATAACCTTGAATTTACCCTGGTAATCTTTAAGCAATTGCATGGCCTAGGGTAATGTGACAATTTCCTACCCTATCTTATACTGTAGTGAACGAGAACACAGGTGGGGCAACCGGATTGTATTCAACGAAAATTACAGAGTTACTCAGTAAAATTGGAAAACCATATCGTAAATCGTTAATTTGCAAAATATCAGTTCATCATATAGAACTGGACTGTTCCTGTTGCAAAACATCAATCCATTGTCACTATTCATGCGTTTCATACAAATTCCATTGTGTTCCCGCTCTTCCTGTTATTGATCTTCCCCCCATCTTCTGCTGCCAGACATTACGTTGACACTCACGTCATATACTACTTATAAGTAGCTCGCACCACAATACTTTCTATATTACGTTAATTTTCTCTCTCCTTCATTTACAATTATCACCTTATGTTAATATGAGCTTTTATTTAATTGACGTTTTATTAATCTTCATATAAAATAACTTGACAAGTTTATGTGTGATCAGATTGTTCAAAATGTCTAGCGCAAATACATCACCTATTTTCAGATCAGCTACATCTTCTCACATTTCTATCAAAAAATCACATTTAATCATAGTAGAAATGAAATGTAAAAATTTTTATTCTATCAATACGTTCAATGTGAAGATTTAACATATGTGACATTTAGTCGACACATTATTAATTGAACATTGAATACGTGATAGTAATATTACGAATTTTAAAACATATTATTCCTAAACATATATATATTCAATCTTTCGATCATGTTATCATTGAAATAGGTTAAACAAATTTTCTTTACAACAACATCACGCTATTTAAGAAATCAGGAGAATCAAATTATAACCAGTATTTTATATTTATGTAATAAAATATCAGTAGAAATTCATGAAAATAAACAATGAGGTCAAAATCAAGTGTTACATAGGTCAAAATGTGTTTGTTACATTGGAGTTGATTTGAACTATTACTCAGTTAGGTAGAAAGTGAACTTGAATCAATTCACTAGTCAATGGACGTGATCAACGCTGGAACACTAGTTGAGATGGTCGAGCGGTTTCACGGATTGATTGCAGTTAGACATCAACACCGTGGGATGTCGGCTCAGTTGTAAATAAGTTGGGCGTTCGCTTGTGAGACTGAAGGTTCTCTATTGGATTCTCGCATTTGTGGTGATCGTGGATATGCACTTGTGAAAGGTCACACACTAGAACGGAATGGCAGTCCATTGCTTTCAAGTTCTCAATCTCATTCAAATTATGAAGTGATCATCAACGCTGAACCAAGATAGATTTATCCATTCAATGTTTGTTTGTTATTTTTGTTTTAATTTAGTTATTTTATCCTAATGAACTCGCGTTACACATGAATGACCAATCAGCATGAATTATTATGCCAGATGTTTGAAGTCAACCAAAAATCACATTTAATCAATAAAAATGAATTTTATAATTTTTCTTCTTCCAATACGTTCTATTTTGAAGATTTAACATCTGTGACATTTTTTAGTCGACATCTATTAAGCTGAACATTGAATAGATTGTATGATATCATTCTCTTAAATCAATAATTACCACATTTTTTATGGAAGATAACTTGTAGGCTAATCAGAGGAAAAGCCAACAAAGAAAATTGACTATAATGTAGAGTTTAGCAGATTATGTAATAGCTTCAAAACCACTCAGTCTATTTTCTTTTTTGAAAAGTTCTGTTTATCTCTTTCAAAGTTTACCAGTCCAGAATGTTCAAATGAACTCGTGGGAATACAGTAAATAATCCTAAATCGAAAGGTTATGTCAGTAAAATATAGATAACTATTGGAAACGAACAGTCAGATTTAATAAAGAATAATATGTCATTAAACTAAAAGGATACGTTGAAATTCAAACATCCTCTTTTAAAATTAGTTTTTATTTCACATATAACATGACAAAACTCCGTATTTCACTTAGCTCACTAGAA